CGGATTTGGGTTGGAGATTATTAGCAAATTAAGGCGCTTAGATTCAAACTAATTCTAATCCTTCAATTCAAAACACTATTAATAATGTTTTCGGCAGTTTAATGATTTAATTTTACAGTTCAACTTCTAAATTTTAAAATTATGTTCTCTACAAATAGATATATATATATATATATATGTAAGATAAATAAATAATCAATTCTAATGGTACAAAATAAAATATTAGATGAAGAACATATCCTTTAATAACAGAGATCAAGAAATAAATGACCTATTAAATGAGGAAATCATAAACTAGAATATGAGAAACTCCTCATATATAATTGATTATTGCATTTAAATGATTAACATTTTAAGAATAATCGCAAATGACTAAGAGGGCTTGAAAGATCTCGCACTTGCATGGTATTAGAGCATCGTGGGGGAGAGGATGATCCAACATAATAAAGAAAGTCTTAATACAAATAGGACGTTTGCAAAAGAGAATGTGCAAATAAAAATATTAATTTTATATATTTTTTAAATATATTAACTTTATTAATTTTTAAATAAAAATTTTAATTTTAATTTTTTTATGTAATAATGTTAATTTTAAATTTTTTTATTTAAAAATTAATTAAAAAGTGATATTGATGTGGCAAATGGATCTTTTTAAAAAGATTAACATTCTTAAATAGATTAAGTTAAAATTAGATATATTTATTTAAAATTTAGTAAAATTAATATTTTTAAATAAAAAATTTTAAAATTAACATTTTTATTTACTATTTTCTCAGCGTCATATATTGCTTAATTTCTTGTCGTGGCCTAGAAAAGATAATAATGTCTTTTCTCAACTTGGGGGGAGTGATTAGACATTGATTACCTTATTTAAGGCAAAGTACTACCAGAAGATAACAAATATAATTATATTAATTAATCCATTTTTCTTTTCTATGTCATCAAAAGTAATGAATGATTGTTTGGATGATTTTTGTCAACATTATTGCGAGGGAAAAATGACCATGTTTCCTTAGGCGCCTAAGCCTATATGATTTTCACAAAGAAAAAAAAAAAGAAAAGAAAAGAAAACCATTCCTAATCCTTTACATCTACATGAACAATATTAGCGGTATAATTAGTATCTAAAATGTCATTATTGTAGATATAAAATGCTACCACCACTACCGGTAGTGTTTGAAACGCCAGTCTTCCCTTCGATGTGATTGTGAGATTGAGTTTGGCTTTTGTGTGTAAAATTTTCTCGATACTGTAATTGCACCAAATCAGAAGTCCTTCTTCAGTCCGCGCCTGCACTTCGAGATAACCTGCAAAGCCTCGAGGTAAAACTCGGGGTAAACACTTCGATGCTTAAGTCAGCAATAATCAGGGTTACCTTTAGAGCGGAGATAAAAAGAGCTTAGGGTTGGTTTCAATTACCTTTTGACGTGGCCCGGAGGGGTATTTATAGGATCCAATGAGGAACCCACGTGGCATGCCAAGCAAGATAATCGGAGCCTGACGTGTCTATCCAGACGATTATTCTGGGACCGGGAATTTGAGAGGTATTCAGGTGCACGGTCGTCTACCATACCTGCTGTGCAACTCATCATAAGGAATCAGGTGTGGTCATGCTTATTGTCACTGTCATGCAGCTATTCGAGCGGGAAGCTTTGGATTTATCCTTCACTTCGGTCATAAAAAAATTACTGTAGCAGTCCGAGGCTTGGCACCTCGGACTTGTCCTTACACTATTCCCCCCTCCCCCCCCCGAAGTCATTCACTTGTGAATGATGTTGTTGGGGATAATGTGAAGAGTGCATAAACAAAGAGAATACAGATAAGTCATACAAGTAAAAGGAGGAAGTGGAATTTGTACCTCAAACGCATACATAGCTGTAGCTGATAATGAAGTATGCGATAGAGGGTCATGCTGGGGATGCTTAAAATAGAATGTGACCAGAGCGATCGTGGCTGTGGCCATGGTAAAAATAATGACCAGAGTCAATGTGTCCGTAGCCATAAAAATAGTAGGAGATGATGACCGGAGTCATGGTGGCCAAAGCCGTAATAAAAGTGATGACCGAAGTCATGGTGGCCGGAGCTGTAAGAAAAAGTGATCATTGGAGTCATAATGTAACCAAGGTCGTGATAAAAAATGATGACTGGAGTTATAGAGGCCGGGGCCGTGATAGGAAATGATGACCGGAGTCATAATGGCCAGAGCCGAGGTAAAGTATGTGACATGTGGTCACAGTAAGTCACTGTAAGTCACTGTGGCCGTAGCCGAAGTGGAACACTATGCAAATTAAAAAGTGTAATTGTAAAAGTAAATAGAAATGCTGAGTTAGGCTTAAGTATAAAGACGGGAGTCATAATGGCCGGAGCCGTAATAAAATATAATGGCTGAAGTCATAATGACCGGAGCCGAGATAAAATGTAATGACCGGAGTCATAATGGCCGGAGCCGAGATAAAATGTGTGACACAGGGTCACTGTGACGAAAACCGATGTGAAATGTAATGCATGATTATTGTGGTCGGAGCCAAGGTGAAACACTTGCAAAATTGAGAATGTGTAAAAGTGAACGAAGGTGTTGAAATGGGTTTAAGTGGGCCCGTTTGAGAGGTTTGACAAAGGGGTAGGGCGTGGTGTGACAGTTGTCCTTTGAAGGACATGCGCAATAAATGCGACCGTAAAAAGATAACTGCAACAGTTAAATTGGCAGATTTAAAAACGAACCGTCGAGTTCAAAACGGTACCGTTTAGGGTTGGCCGTCAAATTCCAAACGGTGTCAACAGGAACCGTAAGATTAAACGAATCTCAGCCATTGAGATCTAATTTTGCCCAGAAGTATAAATAGTCATTTTTTCTGCAAAAAGAAGTTTACTTGCATTTCATTTTCTTCAAAACTTCTGCGAAAAGCTTTACCGTTTGCTTCCTGTGCGTGAACTGCTGCATCACTTGGGGATTTTCACATCAAGCTTTTAAAACCGAAATCAGGTAATGTACACGAACCTTTGATTTTGGTTTAGTCGAAATGTCTCTCTCCTTTCTCCCTTTCTGTGGTTGATTTAGAGTCCGTTGAAGGAAGTTAGGGTTAGAGGTGAGAAGGATTTTGAATGTGCAAAAGGGGTTTTTTTTTAAAAAAAAAAAGGGGATCCTGACTTATTCTTCCCCCTTACTTCGTGCAGAGTTTTGAGAAAATGTCTTCAGAAGAAACAGTAAGTATAGTAGGGAGTGAGGTAATGCCCTTAGACTATAGAAGCATGGACACGGAGAGTAGTCCATCTCCATCTAGTTCGGAGAAAACGGTGGAGGGGGAAAGAGGAGATGAGGTGATGGGGGTTGGGGGGAATGAAGTGGTAGAGGTTGGGGGAAATGAGGTGGTAGAGGTTGGGGGGGATAGCATACCCATCACTGTAGTAGAAGTAGAGGGTAGAGGAGAGAGAGATTATGATGTGAATGCAGACATAGTGGAAGAGGTGAAACAATACAGGTCTGAACTCAGGACTAGGGATAGCCTGGGTCATTTGGTGGAGAATTATGAGATTTCTTCCCGAGTGCTAGTTAGGCCAGCTGGGGTAGAGGAGAGGGCGTGTTCTGCACCTTGGGATCATTGGATGCCTGTGTATGCCCACTATTTGATAGCGGGGCTCAAGTTTCCAATTCTTGAGTTGTTAGTAGGTTTGTTGTTAGATTATAATATAGGGTTGACGTAATTAGTCCCTAACGCTATGAGGGTAATAATAGGATTTTTAGTCTATTGTCGAGCTTAGGGGATTAATGTGCCAACTGTAAATATGTTTAAGTATTTTTTTGTTTTAAAGGGGGGTAGTAGAAGGGATAAGGGGTGGTATTATTTCACCCCTAGGGTAGCTAGTAAGGAGGGTAGGTCTTTATTCACTACGGGTCCTTCATCCATTAAAGGATGGAAGGAAAAATTCTTTTTTGTAGATGATACGGAGTGGGAGTGGGAGAGGGGGGATGCCGAGGTGAGGGAGTTAACATCCTGGAAGGCTAAAAGGGCCAACCAGAATAGGTTTAGTTTAAATGAGGATGAGGAGGAAGAAGTGAGGAAGTTGGTGAGGAAGGGGGGACTTATTGAACATTTTGGACCTCACCAGCGCACAATGCATAGAAGCTGCTGAGCTCTATGGGCCAAGCGCTTTAAGTGAAGGTTGGTTTAATTCTGCATTGTAGTACTGAATGTAGAGTATATAGCTTTGATTAATATTGTGTGTTCTTGCTTTGCAGCTGAAATGGATCAGTTTTTGAACACTGTTGGAGGAGTGGCTATCCCCAAGAAGCCAAGGAAGAAGTTAAAGACTTCAACCAAGCAAGTGGATGAGGGGAGGGCTAGGAAAGAGGTAGTGCCTACGGCTTCAGCTGAGACAGAGGAGGAGGTGCCGCAGTTGAAGAGGAAAGGTTGGGAGGAGAGGAGGGCACTACAGAAGAAGAAGAAAAAGGTGGTGGAGGAGGAGGAGAAGGGGAATGAGGTACCTCAGCTCGTACCTTAGCCTCCTCCTATTGAGCTGGACCCTGAGCTCAGACAATTGGAGGAGGGGGCTGAGCTGCCACTACGTCTTGGTTGGCAGTGGAAGTTGAATTGTGAGCTGAGGTATGAGGTTGGTTTTCATCTCCTCATTCTGCATGATCAACAGAAGGGAACATAGTTGGGACCTGAGGTGGAAGCTGAGGTGTAAGTTGAGGTGGGATTAGAAGTGGAAGGTTGTTGGGGGGTTGACCTTGCCCATGAGGCAGAGATGAATTACCAGCTCGGACTGATCGAGTGTGAACCATGATGAAAGACCAACTAGAAAGCTTTCAGTTCGAATTCCCACAAACGGCGCCAATGTAATTGCACCAAACCAGAAGTCCTTCTTCAGTCCATGTCTGCACTTCGAGATAACCTGCAAAGCCCCGAGGTGAAACTCGGGGTAGACACTCCGATGCTTAAGTCAGCAATAATCGGGGCTACCTTTAGAGCAAAGATAAAAAAAGCTTAGGGTTGGTTTCAATTACCTTTTGACGTGGCCCAGGGGGGTATTTATAGGATCCAATGAGGAACCCACATGGCATGCCAAGCAAGATAATCGGAGCCTGACGTGTCTATCCAAACGATTATTCCGAGACTGAGAATTTGAGAGGTATTCAGGTGCACGGTCGTCTACCATACCTGCTCTGCAGCTCATCATAAGGAATCAGGTGTGGTCATGCTTATTGTCACTGTCATGCAGCTATTCGAGCGGGAAGCTTTGGATTTATCCTTTACTTCGGTCATAAAGGAATTATTGTAGTAGTCCGAGGCTTGGCACCTCGGACCTGTCCTTACAGATACTTACATGAGTTTTTTTTTTTTTT